ACACACACACACACACACACACACACACACACACACACACACACAGTGGTGGTGGTGGTGGTGATGAATGCGTTCTGAGAGCAGTTTAAGTATTATATATTATAATATTTCGTGAACTTACTTCCTATTTTAAGAACATAACTAACTGTCTAAGTAATTTGGTAATAGCTGAGATAGCCCTCCACTTTCTACTGTAGCCACAGTGGTACCTGTGACAATGATTGTTTCTCTATTAGTGCTAATTTCCATGATGCTGATCAATAACTGGTCTGAATAAAAACAACTTTGAACATGTGCTGCCTGAACCTGGGCTCTCTTCAAGAGTACCAGTGTTCTGAACCGCTAAGCCACCTCTTTGGTCTGCACCACATAGAAACTTTCAGAACATAGTCTGTGACAATATAGTCCCAGCCTCACTGTGAGTTATGAGTTGTTTGTGTTTCTTAGGCTTGGCTGTTTGAGACCTGGTCTATGTGACGTCTAGGCTAGCCTTGAACTCACTATGTCACTAAGAGTGGACTTGAACTCAAGATCCTCTACACTGCTGGGATTACAGTCATATGCCACCATGTTCTACTCTTGCTAGTGGATTTAAATAGGTTCATCACTTCTTTGTTAAAATTCCAATCAAAAGAACCCTCAAAGATTCTATAGGGTTAGGTCTTATAACAGGGCATGCTTTCATTTTTTTTTTTTTTTCCATTCTGGACCCGATTTTAAAAAAAAAAAAAAAACACACTTCTTCACTCTGCTCAACCTCACACACTTCCTTTCATCCATTACTCAGACAAGTCACGTGCCCTATCTCGCATATTGTTCTGATGGAAAATGTCTTATTTTCGTGGGCTCAAACAATACACCATGGAATTCCCAGACCCGCATGGCTAAGATTCTCTGCTCAGAACAACCATGTGTGCTGTTTTTTATGCTGATTGACTTTCCACGTGGAACTACTTTTTTCAAGTAACCACCACAGACATGTGGTGGGCCCGTTGGCTGGCTGTGTAAGCGCTTATTTCAGTTCACGAGAAGGCTGGATTCGACAGGAGCGGCCAGGATGGGCATATTTCGCATCATCTTGCGGCTCAGGCTCACTCCTTCCTGTCTGAGTCTCGGAGCAACATGTGCTTTAATCATTCCAGCTCACTGACGCGGGAAAAGTAAACATGAGGGTGGTAATTAATTAGAAGGGCTTAATCCTTTCTTACAAGGTGAATATATCTTCCTGCCAGAGCTTCGCTTTCAAGAAAGAGGTGTAGCACCTCCCACTTTAGTTTACCTTGGTTTGGATTTCTTGGGTTTCCTCAAGCTTTGATACCCGCGGCTGCAGGTTTATAATATCTTGCTTGGATTTTCAGCTTTATTCAAATCTGTATAACTTCCCACAACCAGCTGAGACAAACCAGATGAAAGAGTTCAACCACATCTCGTCACCAAATCAATTTCTTTTCTTTTCTTTCTTTTTTCTTTTTTTAGGTTTCTGGTTCCCCATCTGTGTGGCTTAGTTCCTGTGAGGCCAGATTTAGAAATGGGTGGGGAAATATTGCCTGACTAAAGGAGTGTTAATCATTTCCCCTTAATAGAAGTAACATTTTTATTGCTGCTTTACTGATGGGATCTTTTCCCTAAGGCAAGAAACAATAACAAAATCCCTCCTACCTGCCTGTCTCAAAAGAATTCCAATCTGTCTGGGAAGCAGCCACCCTCGAAGGATGCTTAGGGGCTTCTCAGGAGGCCAGCACGCTTGGGAATGCTCAGAAGAAATGCAGCAGTTGAGGGAACTACCCGATCGCCCAGGTTGAAAGGAGAGATCCTGGATTTGGACTCCAGCATTTGGGGTTCTGGTTCCGGTCGGCCACGTGTCAGCTGTGAGCGTATGGCAGGCAACGGTTATTTAAAGGTACCAGGCCTTTAACATTCGTTCTGAAGACAGTCAGCAATGCTGTGATTTGCAGACTGAAAGACCAAGGCACAGAGCAAGCCAATGACCCCTGGAGTCCACACCGCTAGGGCTCTACTGAGCCCCACATTGCTCCAGGTTTTCTCATCCTGTCTCGGATTCTACTGCCTTCCTCTGTACTACGACAGTTTTCCTTTACTGGGTCTTTGTTCTGATTTATTTTAATCTGAAAAATAAGGTGATCGAGCTAAACCTCAAAAACCCCCGCTTTGAACTTGAATACCCTGTGATCTTATAATTGAGTGTTATCCTTCAATTTGGGGAAGAGTACAATTTGGTTCAGTGCAGCCCAAACAACACACATATTTATGAAGTTGAGAAGCAGCAGGTCGGGAGTGGTACGAGATTAAGGGTCTGGTATTAATCTGGAAAGCTTCCGGACTAAAAAGGGTTTCATCTGGTACAGGAGGAAGAGCTGAGATGCTGGCTGGCAGGTGGGAGGGAGTCAACTCAAGCCTCTTCAGAAGTCTAGAAACAGTCGCAGAGGACTGGAGAGGAAGAGCCATTAGCAGGGCCTCCTGATGGGATGACAGGCCCTCTGGATCAAGCATCTTGCTGAGGAGGAACACGAAAATGGGCCTCTCACTCAGAATCCTTCCTTTCTTGGGAATTCATGCATTATTGACTGAAGACAGATTGACTGACGAAGGTGAGCTGAACTGGAGAACGGCTTTAAAGCCCGCATTAGCAAGCTGCAATTGAGAAGCTGTCCAGAGATTCAAATGCATGGAAAAACCATGGGAGAATAATGTTTCCGTGTGTCAGAGCTTGCCAAAAGACAGGTTCCTTTCTGCTGTTCACTTCCTCCCTCTTCGAATTCATTTTTTTAAAAAAGGTTAAATCAAGAAGTATTCTATTTTGTAACTGTTCATTATTAATACTCAGCATCTTTTTCCCCAGAATATTGGCAATATTAGCAAATGTTAACACTGTATCTTTTCTAGTGTGCTAAGGAGAAAGCATTCATAATGAAAAAAAAATGGTTGTCTCCTTTTTTCCCTCAGCTTGGGAAATTATTAAGAAAGGAATTCAAAAATTCTAAGATTGGCAGGGTCACTGTGAGTGAAACAGCTGAAGATGTGCATGTAGGCTGGAAACAAGAGGAAACTCTGTGTAGTGAGTTCTCAATGTTCCTTTCCTCTGACACAGAGCTAATCATCTACACTAAGCATTGGCTTATAAAATGCAATCTTTGAGCCGATAAACACAATTGTATTCCAGCGATGTAAAGATCCTTTAGTCAGTGAACCATGGGCTTGAGTTCAATTTCTACATCGATGTAAAAGACAAAGCATGGTAGCGTGTGCTTGTAATCCCAGTGCCAGGGAAGCCAGAACAGCTGGATCCCTAGGCTCAGACTTAACCCGAGATTAACCTCAGGCCCACACACAGGCCTGCATTTATGTGCACATGCCCCCCCACATGCAAAGATGTGCACACACATGAAGATGTCCACACACACTCACGCACCCACCCATGCATGCACATGCATCAGTAAATCAATCAAATAAAAATGATTATATCTACTGATGTGCCAGTACCCGTAGGTAGACACTTTCTCTGTATGATCTTTAATCTTTACAGCAACTCCTTAAAATGGAGATTTCAAAAACCAAGTGGTTCATTGATGTACCATGTCAGGGCTAAGGCATTGGTCAGCTTTACAGAAATGCCCTTCTTTTTCCACTCTTGACCTTTTAAGAGACATGTATGGATAAATAAATATCTGGACTAGTTTTAACATGTTAAATGATACTTAGTAACTATGTTGGAATATCTCTAGTCCTTCATAATAACGTGAAATTGCCACAAATGACTGAACGATTACAATTTGATAACAACTTAAAGAGGTGAATGATGTGTGCTGACCTGGGCTTACTCTTTTGAAAGCATTTGTCATATACTTCCCTCATGCTTTAAAATATGTCCCAGTAAGCTGGACAGCTGGACTAACTAGGCATTGCAGTGGACAGTCTCTAGAACAAGGACCTTTCTTCTCATAGCAACAAATTGAACACATGTTTGACATCATTAAATGTCCTCATTGGTACTGTATTTTACTTTATAATAAGCCCTAGGTTTTCATGTTATGGCCCTGAGTTGAGAAACATGCAATCAAGCCCAAGAGAAGTGATCTTTTCCTACTCACAGCTTCCAAGATGAAGTGACAATTTTGAAATCACCATACATAACTCATATTACCCCAGCGTAATTTAAGGCCTGGTTGCTAAACTCCTCTGGGATGTTTTTCAAATGGAAAAAGAAATTCCCCAGAATTCTCTTCAGGAAGGACAATGAAATTCTCCGGGAAACAAATTTATAGGTGCTTGAAGTTGAAGAGGTAGATATGAAGTTTTATACAGTATTTTATAAAATGAAGCACAAAATGTCCTACTTATATTAAAAAAATGGAAAGATAAAGGATAATTGGGAGGGGTGGGCATAAAACGGGGAGGGTATGGGCTGTAGGGTAAAAATGTGATCAATATAAATTTGTGTGCGTGTATAAAAATGTCTTATATACCACAATGAAAACATTTAATTAAATGAAAATAAATTTTAAAAGAACCCTTCCTTAATGACTTCCTGTGATGAGCAAAAAGCAAAACTTAGGAATGTAAATGAAGTAGGAAGGGAAAAAAAGTAACAAAGACATCAATAGAACTTCATTCACCTACTGTCCTTGGTAAAGCTCTAGGAGGACCCCAACTTACTGCAGTGTGTGAGCTAATAAGTCCAAATTATAATTTCGTGTTTAATTTTAAAGCAGGTGAGAGAGAGCAGATGGGAAAACAGGCGTGAGCAGAGAAGTACAAGAAGAAGGAAGGACAGCAAAATTTACAGTTTTGGAGCTTTGAACCACGTTTTGCTAATATATGAAGGAGCAAGAATTAAGTGCGGCTTTAATAAGGTCTCCAGGTCTTTGTGAATGCTGCATAGTGGAGCTCTCAGGTCTCATCTATGGAAAAATGTGATTGAAGAAAGGACTTGTTGCTGCTTTCCCTAAATGAAAAGTTTTATTCTAACCTTTCTCGGTGAATATTTTCATATTCTATACACTTACCATTCACTTGTATTCTGTCTAATATCTACTTATGGTTATGGAAATTGAGATATTATTGGTATCCTTTTATGTGCCTAGAGTAGACATTTCAAATAATGTATATTTCAAGATGTTTAAAGTTTGTCAGGGATCATGTCTTTAATGCATGAAGATGAGAGGAGTTATAAATTCCCTTTACACTGCTTCCATGTGGTGGTCTTATTTTACCTGACAGATGGAAGTACTTGCCACCCCTTTGGATTCACTTGGGAAAATCAGTCTTGAATTATGCATGCTATTCAAGGTAATCAGGAATGCTTCTTCCCCACAGGCTGTGATCATCCTGTTATTAAAGGACTTGTAAAGCATCTGAAAGTGGCTGGTGTGAGATAAGGAACTTGAATGACAGGTCTATAACGGGCAGAAATGGGATGATGTCATCTCAGAAAGAGGCGTGGATGAAGATTGAAGTATGTTTGAACAAAAACCTCTGGCCCCACTCATCGGATGACTAGGAGGCAGGACTCATCCTTGGTAGGCATCTCTCAGCAGAGGCACTGATGCTCTTATGATGGAACAGTGGTCAGGCTCTCTGGGTGGACTTTTGATGTACTGGGGGAATGACAAGTGGAAACCAGAAGGTAAGAAGTTGTAGGAAGCCAAGTGTTGTCTGCAGCTGGCAAATGTGTGTGATTGGGACCAAAATTATTAACGGATGGTGATTGCCAGTCTCCTCCATCCTTTTATTATTTTCAGCAGACGTCTGACTTTACATACCATTTCCTGCCTTTCTCCACCCATTCAGAAGAACACTGACTTGTCAGTTCCATTCTTTTGACTCTCATAGTCAAGAATGAGAACTAGAGAGATCAAAGTCCTATTCCACTGTTGCTGTATTGCAACAATCTTCAGAAAACACCCAGTCTAGCAAACTGAAAGTCTTTTCCCTAAAGATAAAATAACATAAAGCAAATTTAGATAATCAGAAGCAGAAATTCAGGAAATATTCTCTCTAGGGAAGAGATTTGCTCTATTGTAATTTGTATTTAAATAGAATTTATATTCATTAGATAGTATGATAAAAACTATTACAAAAGACACAAATGGACAAGCTGACAAATAATAATTTAATAATAATAGAATATTATTATGTAATAATAATGATAGAATAATCTGGTAGCAATTTTAAAATATTTTTAAAATGTGGTAAAGACTAGGAGGAACAGAGAGGAGACTGAAAAATGCCAGTGAAGATCATGAGGGAGTCAGCTTCAGACATGAGGAGTGGGACCAGGAAAGGAAAAGACAGTGAAACAGGTGGCCAGATGGTCAGCAAGAAGAAGGCACAAGAGCACTGTGAGGGAGTAGCGAAGGAGAGGAAAGAGTTGACAGGGTGACATCTGAGGCCCCAGGAAGCAAAGGCACAAAAGTGTGATTAGGAGAAGTGTACGTGCTTGAAGAACAAGTTAGAAGGTAGAAATGACTACTCAAGCTACTTCTGATGTTCAAGAGGAGCAACTGTGTGAGGACAGAAAGTCTGTGTCCATATTACTTGCCTTTTATCATTATCTGGGGAGCCCTGTGTATTCTAGGTGACCTGGTAAGCTTGGCCAATGAATGAACAAAAAAGTAAGTCATCTAGTGCTGTTTTACTGTGCAATGCTCCAACTTTCCTTGCTTGCTTTCTTTATAAATTTTAAGTATGTGTTTTAGGTCTCCACTATAGAGTGCCAGGTGTGTAGCAGTTACCCCAGAGATTAGAGCAGTCTGTCCTATAGGGAAGCTCATGAAGACAGAAAGTAAATAACTCAAGAGATTTTTAGGAAGTCCCTGAAACTGACTGGATTCACTAGGGCCTCCCTCCCCCAGAGCAAATAAACAGTAAAAGCCAAGAGTCATTCTCAGACCAGCTAAGCTTCAAAGAAGATTCTCAGACAAGCCCAGCCCTACAGAAGAAACAGAAACCAGACAAGCAGCCTGAAAGGAGCAAAGACTAGAACTCCCTAGAAAAATAAAGGATGAGCTGAGCTGCTCAGAACAGGTTCAGACCAACTGTGCGTCTGGAAAAGACACTCTCCAGCCTGTTGAGCTGCGTTCAGGTTGTAGCCATGTGCTCCAAGTTCCCAGTTTTGTGAGCTGTCACCCATGCTAGTGTGGGCTTTGATGATGAAGCTGACTTTGAGTAGTCATTCCTGCTCCTGTAAATAGCCCCTCACCCATAATTCTTTAAGCAATCCCAATAAAACTTATTGGTTCACCAAGTTGGTCTTCAGAGGTATGTGTACTTCGGTCTGTTGTGGGATCCCTGCATGAACATTGCATGTATAAAACTGTTATTGAGATAGACTTTGGTGTATGGATCATGGATTAGAGATGTTCCCTATAGTAATCGCTTAATTATGAAATACAAAATTTAAAGCTTTAGTCTACCATAATCTCCCCCCTTGGGCTAACATGGTTTTATGCAAACTGGGGCAGGACAAATCTTGAAAGCAACATCTGATGTTGAGTTCAGAAATGGGAACAGATATGTGTGGTGATATTTTATTTGTGCTTTGATAAATAAAGCTGCCTGGAGATCAGGGGGAAAAGGCCAGCCATTTTAAATAAACAAAGTCAGGCAGCACATGCCCATACACCAATCACTTGGCAGGCAGAATCTCTATGTGTTCAAGGCCACACTAAGGAACAGAGCCAAGCGTGGTGACACACACCTTTAAGCCCAGTACCAACCATAGAGACCTGGAGTTCTGTACAGACAGACAGTGACAAGGAAGTGAGGTAGCTGGGCTAAGAACCAATGAGAGGGCAGAACAGCAAGGCAATAAAGGCACAGGTAGACAGGAAGTAGCTCTCTTTTGGAAGCTACAGAGTTGGTGAGGTAAGGTTGGCTGGTAGCTCTCCCTATTTCCCTGATCTCTAAGGCTTTCACCCCTGTATTTGGCTTCATGTTTTTTTATTTAATCAGACCATTTAGAAATTCATCTACAGATGTTTCCTTATTTGTGTTTCAGTTCACATGATTAGCCTGCCACAATGGTGAAATGGAAAAGGTTTGCTAATGTAACTTCTGTTCTGTTTTAAAGAAAATCTCCATGCACAAAGGAGCTATGGGTCTTTTAAAGGATACAGGCCGTCCTTAAATATGCAGAATTCTAGAATTAATATGGTTTTTAGAAATACAATTAGTACATATTCACATTCAAAGACTTTACTGAGGGCCAAGTAACAATAGTGAGGCAGATTTAATGCCTCTTAGATTTGTTTCAAAATTGTTTTTTCTGCAAAATTTGTGGTACATGGATTCCAGAATGAAAACCAAGAAGAGGTCAGAAATTGGCTTCAGCCATCTCATGTCAGGGCATGCCACATTCAATGTGTCATCCTCAAAGGAGAGCTTTTTAAAATAAAATCAGACAATGATTAATTTTGTAAAAATAATAATGGAAGAAATATGTAGAAATAATTGGGGGGTGAGTATAAAAGTCCAAGTTGCTACATTTCCTGATGCATTTTATGTTTGCAGTAATCATAATGTAAACTGAGTACATATTACTATTGACTTTGAGCAGCTAATAAAATCAAGCCCTGAAAGCAGCATGTTTACCCAGTTTTCACAGATCCAGTTGTGGGGCTTGGGACCTCTGTATCTTAGAGCAGATTTTTTTTCTATTGTTTCATACTATAATTTTTATATCTTTCTTTTAAAATATTTTCCCCTGCAAGTTACTGAAAATCCAGTAATATCTCTAAGTAGCTGTGACTAAGGACCTAGATTGTAACTGTACATTATGTTAGAAAAAAAATCTATTTTGCCAACCATCTGACTTTAAATACTAGTGTTTCATTTAGAATATCAATGTGGTAGAGAATCTGATAGACCTAATTACTTTGATGGGTTATCTTTATTAATGGGTTTTTCTAATTGATTTTGTAAATTTGATTTCATCTTCTACTTACTTCACTTGCAAGCTCCATAATAGTTCCACTTCAAGCATTTCTATATTTATTAAAAACAGGTCCTCTGATCACTCAAATGTAGAAAAAAATCAATTGCCTAACACAGTCTGCATTAATAGTAAAAATTAATAATTTTTGAGGTTGTATGTAAAAGTGCTTACTAAAATCTACTCTGCTACTTAGAAATGAGAAAATGGAATGGACATTTTACCTGATTTAAACTCAGATAGTTCCTTTTTTAAATTTTCAATCTTTGTGTCATCACTAATAAACTTTCACAAGTAAATACAAAGTTTCAGAGTTTGGGGCATTATATTTAGATCAGTGATCCACTTTGAGTTCTTTTCATAAATTAAAAAAAATTTCTTTTATTTTTTGAGATTATATCATTTCTTCTTTCCCTTTCCTAGCCCCAACCCACTCCCAATATACCATTCCTTGCTTTCTTTATTATTCTTGGCATCTTTCTTCATAACTGTTGCAACACACACACACACACACACACACACACACACACACACACACACACACAGGCACACTTTAATGCATAAGTGGTGTTACTTGTATTTATGTTTCCAGGGCTGACCATTTAGAATTGGAAAACCAACTGGTGTTCTCTTACCTGGAAAGATAATCTACAACAGAACTCCGGAGCAGAAGGCTCAGGAACATTGCCGAAGAGAGGGAGGAAAAGATTATAAAAGCCAGAGGATCAGGGAGTTGGTTGTGAGACTGCGTCTCGAGGAATGTCCCAAGCTGCAGCCATAAAGTCTCATCAACATGACTGCCTAAACATGAGCTGAACAATAGACATGCCAAAGTGGACTCGAAAAGCCCATGAGGCCTCAGCTTCACACAAGGAACTACAGGCAACTATAGAACACCAAGAACAGGAGAAATGCTCTTCCCCAGACTTCTTTTCTAATGTTTGAAAATTTCATACATGTACATGACCGATTTTGATCATATTCTCCTCCCACTACACTCTCTTGTCCCTTCTCCACTTCCTCTGAACTCATTCTTCCCATTAAGTCTTCCGTTTGCATTCCTTTTTCTTTAATGACATGCTGGCTTTATAAGAGCTGCTTACATGAGGTTGGGTGTGATGCTACTCCCTGCATCGTGGGCAACTGACCAGTGACAATAGCCCCGAGAAGAAACGACTTTCTCTCTCCCAGCCACGAACTGCCAATAGCTCCTCAGCCAGTTGATGAGACTTCTAAGATCCTCCCTAAATGAGATATCTTTTTGAAAGCTTCACCTTGGCAGTCTCTAGCCTATTCTGCTGAGGTCAGTCTAAAATCTTATTCAAGAACTGCCTCACCAAGTTTCCAGAGGTGAGCACAAGGCGGGGAACAATTTTCCTTATTCTTATTCTCTCTTCAATGGAGAGCAAATCCTGCCTCCTTCTGTGGGATGAACTACAGGAAGAGTTACCTCTTGATTTGTGGAGGAGCCGCAGGGGTGGGAATTAACAACACTGTGCTGTGTACTGCATGTGTGTACTTTAGTGCAAAACCTATCACACCTGACAGTCAGGTTTGCATTCGTTCTGTGCTAAAGAAATAGGAACAGGGCCTCAGAAAAATCAATAATATATGCAAGGTCACATTGTTAGCAAATGACAGTTAGGTTGATAATCCAGGTTTGTTTGGTTTGCACAGGATATGCTCTGCCAATTTCTCTAATTCTGAGTCTACAATTATTTTGAGCAGCCAAGGGAGACTAATATGGAGATGTGAGAAGTTCATGAACTCTGAATCTTTGCCGCAGCCCCACATAACCTAATTTAACACTCACTAATCTAGACGGCATGACTCTATTGTTAAGGGCATGGGCTCCAGAGACAAGCAGATCTTACTTTGCTACATGTTCTTCCCGTCACCAGCTTATCGAGTGTTTGTTAACAAGCTCCTCCAAGGCTCAGTTTCTTCATTTGCTAACTGAAGATTTGATAAATGCAAATGCAAATACAAACCAAAGGCAGAATTCTGGGCCATAATAAGTGTTGTATACATTATTGTTAACACTATCACTTTATATAGATTTCTTTTTCCAGTGGAACTCAGCAACTGAAAATAGGCATACAACATTTCTTGAAGACAAGAAAACGAAAAATTATAGAGTTTATAACACACGAAAGTGCTGAATGCTCAGGGGATACCTTTCCTCCAAGATCTTATAGTTTACTTCTTCCAATTACCAAAGGGGCCTTGAATCCAGGTGAGCAAAGAAGCATTTCTTTGCCTTGGGAGAATAGTGTGTTTTCAATAGCTATGCGATTCTCTCTTACTTATTTCTGGAATATTGCCGTTGTACTGAATACATTTATCATATACTGAAGAGCTTTACTCAATTCTGGTATTGGTTTTCTTGATCAACAAATGAAGTACCTGATAATGATAGGGTAGGAAAGCATTACTTTCCAAAAATACTTTGCATTGGTCAATAGGGATGCCATCAACACTCTAGAAAACTTGAGCTTTCAAATCTCAGGCAACATGAATTGATAAGTATTATATTTTAAAAATTAGGTTGTCAAGTTTGAAATGGTTTCTAGCTATTAGAAGAGTCTTTTCACTTATAAGTTGACTTTTTTTCTTTGAATATATCAACTAACTAAACTAAGGTTCTATTTGATGAAACATTTATTTATTTTCTTATTTCCTGACGGCTTTGCCACATCCCCCCCAAACAAATTGAATTGCATTAATCAACATAAAGGTGAGGAACATATTCATAATTCCAATAGATTCAAAGACATTCAAACTTTTATGCAAATTACTTTAATGTTACTTTTTCATGTAACAGAAATTCAGAATATTGTTAGATGCTCTTAGTCATAAATAACAGAAAACTCAAAATGGCTTAAACACTAAGGAGATTATTGGCTTAGTGAAGAATAAGAGGAATAAAAATGAGCTTCAGGGGAAGTGTCACCAACTCATCCTGACTGTGTTCCCTGTCTTAGCCTGTCCCCATTCCAACCCTCAGAATGGAATGAGATGGCATCCGAAGGTATCGTCGTTCCCACATCTCAAATGGTCTCAGCCAGGAGAAGAGGTAGGCTTAAGGACTCTCCCGGAAAAGGCTGCACACTTTGACAAACCCAACAGCACCCCCCACCACTCATATGGTTTTGTTCAAAGGAAACTGTATGCTTGAGGTAGTGGGAGGCTGGGAGCAGAGCCCTCTCACGGTCAGTTTTTCTAAGTCATTTTCAACAGGAGAACAGCATAAGGAGAGAAAT